ATATATATATATAATAATTTTAAATTTATTTTTAATCAGGCTTCTTGCTTCAGTGATTGTGATTGTAAGACCTATATCAATATTTGTGGACCATGTTCATAAAAATAAAAAATAAAAAAATAAAAAAACATCTATAGTGCATGTTAGCCTGTTTATTGCCAAAAACAAGGGACAGTGTAGCGCGGGCCGATCTGGCTTACATTCTCACCTCTAGACATAGCTATTTCAATCATTTTTATGTGCAAAAAAAAAGAAAAAAAAGACAGTTATACTTTCCATGCACAAACAAGCCATGACACAAACTTGCATCATTACTTATATGACTTGATGAAAATATAAATAAATTACCATGTGATGAAAATTATCTCCAATCAACAATATATTACTGACTAACCTATACTTAAAAATAAGTCTTAAAACTAACAACATCCACTCATCTTTGATTTATATATTGGTTCACGATTTGAAATCTGATGTCGTGTTACTTGAATAAATCAACTTAGCATTCTTTCAAAAAAAAAAAAATCTCCTTATATCAACAATAAAATGTTATTTTAGTTAAAAATAATTGGTTCTCTAAACTAATTCACCAATATTTTTTCTGATTTTATTTATATTTATATTTGTATGCACAATATAAAATTGTTTAGATTAAAAGAGATGATTAATTGAATAATTTATCAATAACTTCAATCTAAACTTTAAAGAGATACCAAGAATGTCTAATTGAAAGAATGAAAAACGACGATAATTTCATTTTCTAAATTGTGTCTTCTAATTTATAACAAAAGGAGTAAATTATATATTGTTTAATTTTTTAATTTACTTGCCAGCTGATGATGATTGTCGTCGTGTTTTAAGAGATCTTCATTTCTCAGTTTTTCCTTTTTTTTTTTAATTGTTTTTTCCTTTTTCATTATTACCTACATTGTTTTTTTTTACACCATTACTTCCTACATTGTTAAGCACTATATTATTATTAAAATAATAATATTATACTACCATAACAAAAAAATATATAAGTAATAGTTAAGATTAATATTAAAAAAAAATATTTCCTGTGATAGTATAATAATAATTATTTTACATAAATACTAATAACAAATTTTATTTTAATAATAATAAAATAATATATTTTCTAAACTACAAATGATTTTACTATTCTTAAAAACAATGTCATTATTTTTTTATTATTTTTTGAAAAAATTATACTAACCTAGAAATTCGTCCAACTATTATACACGTTTTGATTGTTTGGGGAATTTTTTGTTGGATTCTAATTTTCCTTGCAATGCATGGATGTTTTAAATTGGGTACATGTTATGGGTTTGCCTTGCAAATGCACCGGCCCATAATTTATTTTTAAATGTCTCATGCAAGATTTATTCCATAAAACCACTCTACCTCGAATATTAGTTCACTGCCAGAGGGTAAAAATCACCTACTCACTAGTTATGAGGCAAGTATGTTCATACCAGCAAATAAAAAAATTAGTATATTTCAACTTCAAATCTAATAATACTTATTAAGTGTCATCAGGTTCATATATGGTGCAACGATTGTCGTCGTGGATCCTCAAACATCAGGATCCTGTCAAAGAATGCATAGAAAAGTTTCTTACATGCAAAAAAACAATAAAGAAAAGAAATATTATCAGTAATCAGAGTTCCAACTTAATTAAGTTAGGCGTAACTATTCACACGACCCTGCTAGACATATTCCAGCTTTGATTGTATTTCTCGTGAATCCATCATTGTTGTCCACACTCACAAATGATGTTCAATTGCATCTAGCAAAAGAGTAAAAGAGAAAACATATGCAGGAAATTGTTTGCAAGTATGAACAATTAGGCAATATATAGAAGATGAAATGTTATACACAAGTTAAATATGGTTATGTTTCTTCATAATCATAAAGCACTTCCATGCTATTGTGAGTGTCTGGTTGCACTTTTATAATGCACTGTTGGACTTTAAACTTCGTAGTTCGTAACACTATATTAACAACTTTTATGTCCAGTCCAAAAAAATAATAATGGAAAAGTTAGAATAATTTACTTCAATATGACGCACCTGAAATTTTGGTTGACGTGCAACCAAACACATTGATAAGCTGGTGTTTAATCAGTACATTATAGTAGAAACAAGAAAAAATGTGAGGTAGAGAAAGTAACCTCCTATAAAACAGGCCAGCGAGCTGTCAACCAGTATAATTAATAATCTTTTTCACAACCACTGTCCTTGCTCTCCTTATTTGCCTACTACATTCATCAGCTTGCTTACTCAAAGCCTCAATGGTCTCTGCAAAAGTGTCTATATTCTTCTTAATCTCCTCGATTGCAAACCTTACAGCATCCTCATTTCTAAGAGCAAAATCAGCATTATGCAACATGGATTCAATCTTTATTTCCAATTGGTCGATGCGCACCCGAATATTTTTCAAGTCCGCCAATGTAATGAAACTACCAACCTGCATAGAACTGATCAGTTCTCTTTGGCCCTTTAAAGCTGTCTCATATCGCTTAAAAAGTGAGTTGCACCATTTCCCCACTGAGCCTATTGGAACAGCCAATGCACCCGCCAAAGCAGTTACAACAGGTGGTGCAGCAATCGCAGCTGCCACCACTGAGAAGATCAAAACAGCCACGAAAGCAGCCACAAAGATGGCATTTGACACCCTCTTCAATGTCTTGAGTGACTTCAATTTCTTATCAAGCTTTTGCTTTCTAATTTGCAACTTCTTCAGCATTGATGCTTGCTGTTGATAAACCGGTTGAAACAAGGAATAAAACTCTTCAGTGAAGGGGTCACCGGCATCCTTGAAACCCTTAAGCTCTTGCAATGTCTTCAAATAAGTGGACCCTTCTACCCCTTTTTGTACCTCTTCCTCAAAATAGGTAATTGCAGACTTAACTATAACATGTCTTTCACGTGCTCGATTCAAACATTTATCAAGAGCATTGCAAAACTCTAAAGTCTGGAGGCTATTTTCAAAGAAGTCCTCCACCAAGGAGAACAATTCCCTGTCTTTCTTATTCCATATATCTTGCTTGCACTCTAGAATGACTTTGGCAACATCCTGATTCATCTCAAGCAAACTACCAGTCACTTCCCCTAATGACTCAATGGATATGGAACGAACCTCAATCCCATGAGCAAGTGAAGTGATGACCCTATTGGTGCGCTCCTGAATGGTAGCATCTAGGGATTGCAAGTTTGGATCTTCAACACATGCAGCTTCATAAGAGCTTAAATCAGCCGCATACAGAGAATGGGTACCCATTTTAATAGGTGTTGGAACATCACTTCCACTAGGTATCTTACTCGGTTGATTTCCCATCACAGCCAATTTTAGTCCTAACAAAGATCAAACCCAATTTCCAAAATTAGAAGGGAAAATGCAACAGAATCGGCTAATTCTTTCTTCCCTCACACTCCAATCAATCACCAAATGCAAAGTTTCAGTTTCAGGTGCTCAATTACATCCTCTGAACGAGGCAAGATCCAGAACCCAAATGACAAGAGAACACAGAATTGATACACATGAATATAAATTATTAAAAACAAAACAAAGCTGCAATTTTTAATTATCTATTAGTACAGGGTCAGCTTAGAAGTTCTAGTACCTGGATTTCAGAATTGCGTTGGCGTCTCTCACTTGAAGTTCTACCCCAAGAGAAAACGGTCACAGACTGAAGCAAACGAGTGAACAGAACCTGGGGTGCCAATTACGGAAAAGCTTTAATTGAAGCATTGACTGGGGAGAGGAAGGAAAGATATGTTTGTGCAAAGGTTGCGTGAAGTATGAGGGCTTTCGATTTCCGAAACATTGCACCAAGTCAAAATGAAAATTACAGGCATTGAGAATTAAGAAAATCAAAATGAAAATAACTAAAACTTAGAAGACGAAAATTAAAATTGTTAAAGCTCGGAAGATTTAAAATATTCACGTCAAGTGACTTGCACATGATTTTTAATGAATTTTTTCTTTCAAAAATATCTCTCACCTTCTCCATTAAAACCAATGACTTTTGAAACAAATACAATTTTAAGAAAACTTATGCTTTCAGATTTTTTAATGAATTTTTTCTTTCAAAAATATCTCTCACCTTCTCCATTAAAACCAATGACTTTTGAAACAAATACAATTTTAAGAAAACTTATGCTTTCAGATTTTTTAATGAATTTTTTCTTTCAAAAATATCTCTCACCTTCTCCATTAAAACCAATGACTTTTGAAACAAATACAATTTTAAGAAAACTTATGCTTTCAGATTTTTTAATGAATTTTTTCTTTCAAAAATATCTCTCACCTTCTCCATTAAAACCAATGACTTTTGAAACAAATACAATTTTAAGAAAACTTATGCTTTCAGATTTTTTAATGAATTTTTTCTTTCAAAAATATCTCTCACCTTCTCCATTAAAACCAATGACTTTTGAAACAAATGCAATTTTAAAAAAACTTATGCTTTCAGATTTCCAGACAAAGGAATAATGACTGAAATTTTGAAATCAATGATCTCAAAAGCTTGGCTAATTATTAGTAACCTCAATACATAAAATGAGTTTGATTTTATGTAATATCTTTTCAATTTTTAAGGGGTTTCATCGTAAATTCAAATAATAATAGAGTATTAGATGTAATCTTTAAAAAATATGGGGATGCAAGTGTAATATAATTTCAAATTTTAAAAGTTATCACTATAAGTCCAAATAACAAAAGCGTGTTGAGGACAATCTTAAAAAAACATAATGTGTGCAAGAGTATTTTACTTTATATAAAAACATCTCATATGTTGATTTTGAATAGAGAATTATAAGTCAAGTGAAAGTTTATAAATTATAAATTAGGAGGAGAACAACTAAAAGCTTATAAGTTAATCAATTGAATTGAAAATATTTTATAAATTATTTAATAAACTAATTGATTAATATAAAATAATATATTTATTTATTTCATAACGAAAAAGAGAGAATAATACAAAGAAAAAAAAAAAAGAAAAAATTTATTTTTTTTTATTTGGACATCTTTTTTTTATTTGGACATCAATTGAGTTTAATAAAATTTTATATAGATACGACTATTTTTTGTTTAAATACCAATTGAGTTTAATAAAATTTTATATAAGTGAGTTTAATAAAACATATTTCACGTTTTACATCAATAAAAAATTCAATATGTCTAAAAAATTTAAATGGTTATTGTTTTATAATAATCAAATTATTTTCAATTTTTAAAAAATAAAAGACTAAAATGATTTTTAAAAAAAAATAAAAGATCAAATTTAATCTTAAATGTGAAACAAAGTGTGAAAAATATAACTTGGCCCATCAAGTTCCATTGCAAGATAATTTATGAAACAACATTTATTTATTAAATGAGATTGGTACTATTAAATTATACTAAAACCTTCTAAGTCAATGTAGATTTTTTTTTCTTATGTTTAAATTAGGAGAGAGTAAGTCTAGGAATAGTTAACATTGTTAGGCTTAAAATAAATATTAAAGTGAAATTTTTAAAAATTAATAATAATATATTTTAATTAAAAAAAATATTTTTAAAGGGAGTGTTTGAAAAATATATATTTATATATCTTTTAGAGATAGGTCTATTCGTATGAGTTTTTAAAAATATAAAATGTGACTTTTTTAAGTATAAACATTGAAAAAGTTATATAAATATTATTATAAAAGTATATTTTCTTTAATAGAGGCTTAAAACAAGACCTCATGTTTGAATCAGCCACAGTAAATCCCTGGGAAAAAAAAAAAAAAAAAAAAAAAAAACTCTACATGGTAGAACAAGCTAGCACATCAGTGAGTTTGTCGGGCACTACTCACTAGTTATCTCTTGACCTAGGCCTAGTCATTGGTCAAGTTTGGTCATGAGAGCCTTTTGTTAAGGCAGATTTTGAATCTTTTAGTTGAGTTCAATGGGGTGTAGAACAACCTTTGTGGCAAATCAAAAAAATATTGAATCCAATTTATTTTACTATAACTATCTTCATTTTGGTAAAGATCAAATATATTATAAAATAATTTTATTTAAATTAGATATAATTATTATCAACAATAAAACTCTTTCTTTAAATATTTAACACAAATACAAATTCATAATTTAAGCTCGAAGCCTTTAATTTATTTACGGATTAGGTGATTGACTGTAACTATCTGATGGCCTATCTCTTAGCTTTGGGCTTTACGAGTTCAGTCAGATCGCATTTCTTTTCTCTGCCATACCCAAGTGGTCTTCTAGAAGTATCCCAAGTCCGGAACCATTTGTAAAAATGGGTTGTTAAAAAGTTATGGGCTTTTTGTCACTCTAAATTAAAAATAAATAAATAAATAATTATTTATCAACATAAATATTTAATTTAAAAAGATATTTATTTTTTTGCATTATTAAATTTTAAATTTATAAATTTAAATATTAATTTTATTATATGTGTAGATTTAAGATAGTATTTATAATTTTATTTATTTTTTTACTATTTAATATAATATGAAATTGGTAAATTGTTTATTGGATTAGATGAAATGGAACTGATTTATATAAATTTTGTGATATATCATTAATTTTTCTTACTTTGCTTGAATGTATGTTATATTCACATTTTTCGCAATAGTAACTCATTCGAAACTGTAAGAACTAAGAAGTAATAGTTTCTTGACTTTCTTCTAAATTTTGCATATACAAAGTGATGTATTAATTTGCTTATTTGTAAACTTTTTTTAAATGATTTTAGACATAATCATATCAAGTAGTAGGTACAATAGATTGCCTTGATTGTTAGTAGATTAACTACTTTTTCAAAATTAATATAATGTATTAAATACTAAATAAATAAATAAAATTATAAATATTACCTTAAATCTACACATATGATAAAATTAATATTTAATTTAATAAACTTAAAATTTAATAATACAAAAAATAAATATAATTTTTTAACTAAATATTAAATTAAATTAAATTATAACTTAAACATTTTGAGGGCAAAAAAAACATTTAGAGGAGGCATTTTTTGTTCAACTAACCCATGATGAGAAGTGAATAGAAAACGCCTATCTCCTAGATAATTTTTGTTCAAAAAAATTTTAACAAAAAAGTCTTCCCTTAAACATTTTCTGTTCAAATATTTTAAGCTAAAAACTTATTTTGGTCCATTATAATCTTTTTTTGTTTCAATTTAATCCCTCATTAATTTTTTGTCTCAATTTGGTTCCAAACTAATTAATTGGTTTCAATTTAGTCCCAAATTAATTAATTAATTTCAATGTGGGACTTCCGTCCAAATTATTTAAACGGAATTAACTTTTGGCCACGTAGATGCATACGTTGCATCCACGTGGATGAGAATTTTTTTTGAAAACACCTGGACCGGAACGGCGGCCCGTTCTGCTTTCAGAACGACCCGTTCTGGATTCAGAACGGTCCGTTCAAAAACTGTGAATAAAATATTCTTTACTTAATTGTGTTTTTGATATTATAATTATGCAAATTTTGATCTCTAAGGTTTTAATTGAGTAATTTCAGTCCTTAAAAGATTATAGTTGTGTAATTTTAGTCTCACAATTTTTAATTGAACAATTTTAATCTCTCAAATATCATAATTGTGCAATTTTAGTCTTTCTCATTAAAAATTTAATAATTTTAAAATTTTAATATATATATATATATATATAATATTTTAAAACTATATAATTGTTTGTTTATTTAAATTAACGTATATTTTTTTTAATGTATCAAATGATATATATTTATTATTACTAAATAAATAAAATTTATATATTATTAGTATTTTAATATTATTGATAAATTAATATCAATAATATTTTTACTATATTTATAAATAAACTAATAATTTGATAAATATAACTTAATATATATTAATATACTTTTACAAAAATATAAATATATAAGATCAGATATATATTTCTAATTAATATACTTATATTTTTGTAAAAGTATATTAATATATAACAAGTTATATTTATCAAATTATTAGTTTATCTATAAATATATTAATAATATTATTGATATAATATCGAAAATTATAATATACGTTAATTTGAATAGATAAATAATTATTTAATTTTAAAACATTATATATATATATATATATATTAAAATTATTAATTTTTAATGGGAGAAACAAAAATCATACTATTATGATATTCGAGGGACTAAAATTGTTCAATTAAAAATTGAAGGACCAAAATCGCGCAATTGTAATTCTTTAAGGACTAAAATTATGCAATTAAAATCTTGGAGATCACAAAACTGCACAATTGTAATACTTGAGGGATAAAAAATGCAATTAAACCAATATTCTTGATTAATTTTATTAAAAAATATAATAATTATGAAAAATATTTTTTTATGGTAAAAATTTTAAAATTACTTATTTTTATAAAATATAATTGTCTTATAAATAGAGTAATAATTTTTTCTTTTTCTCTTTCTGTTTGAAAAAATATTTAAATATCACTTTATAATTTTTTGCAACTTATTTAAGATTAAAAGAATAAAATGATAAAAATTAATAAGATAAACATAATAAAATAAAATATAAAAAAATATTAATATATTTATTTTATTAGATATAACAACATAATTAAAATATAATTAATAATATATATTTTATAAAATTATTAATATTTTATATATTAAAAAAAAACCGGAACGGCCCGTTCTGAAACCGGAACGGGCCGTTCTGGTTACATTTTCAGTGTGTTAATTTTGCACCTGGAACGGGCCGTTCCGGATGCAAAATTAATACACCAAAAGTGCACCCAAAACAGCCCGTTCTGGTTTCAGAACGGGACGTTCTGGGTCCAGGTGTTTTCAAAAAAATTTTCATCCAACGTATGCATCT